GAACGGAACACCTCTCCTGATCTTATCACAATATTATTGTTAAATGTTGTATCATAATCACAACTATGGTAAAGTTCATCGAAAATAGTGCCCACTTGAGTTACATCAATATTATTCATAAAATCTAATTTCTTCTCAGTGTTCCGTTTTCCTTTACTGGGGCCAGGGCGGTCGGGTAGCCTAGTGGTCAAAGCGTTTGCTCGTCACGCTGAAGACCCGGGTTCGATTCCCGACATGGGTACAATGTGTGAAGCCCATTTCTGGTGTCCCCCACCGTGATATTGCTGGAATATTGCTTACAGCGGCGTAAATCCATACTCACTCACTTTTACTAGGCTTCCGACCAGACATATGCTCAGTGACGGCTACGTTAAAACATGTGGAGTGAGTGAGTGAGTGAGTGAGTGAGTATATATATTCAGTACCATGATCATTATTCAGCATTATTATGTTAGAATAGGACTTTTACCATCTCTCTATTGACACCATCTCGTTCTTATTTCTTAACTTTTCCCCTTTCTTTTATGTTATTTTGGGCCAGACGTTTTTCATTATTCCCACTATTTATTATTATATAAAACCCGCTGGCCCCGACTGCGACATAGCCAGAGGCTGAAGCGGTCGTAAAACTCAAAAATACAGTACAGTACATTATTCAGCCTTGCTTGACAACGGTATAAGGATCTATACCGAAACATCGCCTTTACAGTAAAAAAAGAAGTTGTTGAATGACAAATAGACCTGATCTAGGTCTGATAGGCGACATTACAATTTTTTTTTGTCATGGTCAAAGGGAGACAATTCAATCGATTTTATTCCATAGGGTAAAGTTTATGGTCAAAGGGAAGTAATTCGGGTTGGTACTGTACTGCTGTCCAGCTGAAGGCGCTAAATTTGCGTCGCTTACAAACAGTGGAACCAGTTTACTTGGTAATTTAAAAAGGAGTTTACGCCCTTTTACAAGCTTCCTTCGGGGGTCTACATGCAAACTTCAGACAATGCGTCGTACTTTATAAAGGGTAGTAACCATGTTAAGAAAGTAATCCTTGACTGGTATCCGGGTCCTTGTAGTAAGGGAGATAACCAGTAATTTCTAAGCTCGTTCTCAGTGCGTGAACGTGCTATCGCTGTGAGGAGCTTGAATTTCCCTATAGAATTCGGAATAGTTCACACGATGTGGGGAGTTTACACACTGTATGGAGCCCATGCTCCTCACAGCGATAGTACGTTCCCGGAGCTCTCTATACTATCGCTGCCACCAGTCAAAACTCCCCACTGTGAATAGGTGGCCACAACCATGCTTGGAGTTGAACTCGCAACCGAATGACCGTTATGTTTACAAACAAGTGACGACTGTCGTGACGCCGAATACACTTATCGCTGCTAAAATACTTTCTTCGTTTGTCAATTTGAATTTCTGTTTCATTAAAACTATCGTGTTATTGATATAGTAAGAATGTAAGGGAGAAATTGGTTGATTTTCCGTTAGTCTGCAATCTCGAACCAATCTGATTACGAAAACAACAAAGTAAATTCATTTGGAAAATATGGTCAGTCGTAAACCTTTTCAAATTGAAATATGATGGCCTTCCCAAAGACATAAACAAAAGTATAAACATTACTACATATGGGGTTGGAGGGCAAATTTCAAGATTCTTGAAATGGCCGCGCCCACACTGGTGGCAGCGATGTTACCGAGAGTGTAACGAAGGTGTCACGCGCTGGGAAGGAGCTTGTATGGAGCCCATACAAGGGACCTTACTCTTATTTACTATTGGCATGTCATGACACGATTATCTCCCTTAGACCATTCACTGCAATGATCGCGCGGTACGGCTAAAGATTGCCGCCTACACAACACACCGCGCTGGCGGGTTTCTTTCAACAACGTTTATGTAAACGTCTCATGTTTATTTCTATCTTGGTTCATCGTTCCTTACTTATGTACGTCTCTTGGGATCACCGACGACATTATATGTCATACAAACAGACCTACCGGTAATTTCCTAAGCGTCTGATGCCTTCTTTCAAATATGATCAATCTTTCAGAATATCATATTCTGGCACAGTGAATATCATATGGTTAACGATTTACCCCAAAGCATTTTGGCATGAACCTATAAGATCCGAACTTTGACGTCACAATTTATTTTAATAATGAGGTTTCTGAAAGCCAAATATGAATCAAAATATCTTGAATATTCTTGAAATAAGCCAGTAGAACGAACCACGCAATGCTGTTTATTTTCAATATTGGTATCTGCAAGGTATGTTTTGGCTACCCTCTCGGTTTCGTATATATGTATGTGAAGTATTAAATGACAAAATATACGAACGAATAGATCGAATCACTGTACATGTTACCAAATCTGCTCACTGCAGCTGAACCAGGCAGTTAGGTTGATGAAAGGAATCCTGAACAGGCCGTGTTGGTTGGAGTCAAGCTGTTTGTGGCACAAAGTCACTTTAACTATCTTGACGTTGAGAGAATTACCGAACATAGAAGTCAGGGGGGTTTCAAAAGTGGTAGAAACTTACGTCTACATTAACGACGAAGGTTGAACTAACGCCACAGGCCCGTCTGTTTCATTGCAATTGCGCAGGTTTCCATGCCATGAACTTTCTCAAACATCAACACAGCTCCCCGTCATTTATGAACACTTTAAGAATGCATACTGTCATATAAACATATGTCTACGACCGTGGTTTTCAAACCGTTAAATGTGTTACTTTTCAAGAAGCGACATACAAATCCAGATGGACGGTGGATAATTCAGGATTTACAAAGATAATATTCTTTCGGCGGGAGGGGAATTTGCAGGCGGCGAGAGATGACTATAAGTAAAACTATAAGTAAGGACGTCCTAATGCACTTATGTGTTTGTTTTTAATTCTATCACTAGTAATAAACGCAAGTCCACCAGATTTAGCTTTTGTAGACTGTTTCCAATTATTATGATACATACTATATCCAGTAATTCTATCAAGTCGACACTGTCAAGTTTTGTTTCTCAAACACCAATAAATATGGTAACTATTGATCATTGATACAAATTCTGGGTAATTTAGTTTGGGTAAAAGGCCACCGACATTAATAGCACAGTATTTCAGGGTGTAGGCTATGTCGACACTATATGATTGTGTGTATTTCCAGACGGTCGACGTCCTGGCGCTACTAAATCAATGATAATAATATTTGCGATTGTTGGATTCGAATATACCAATAAGTGGTCGTGAAAAACACGTGTACATTTATGGTGACGAATACCTTGGAAAATACTCAAACTGAGTGTAGGATCCAAACCCATGGCTCGAGGGCTAAGGCTGCTAAGGGGTGCAACTCTGCACATTCCGGTTGATGCTGAGACAAACAAATGTGGACGGTTTACGCGATAGACGGATTTTATAATTGTCAAAATATTTCTTTTGGTGGCGCGGATTCCGGGTCACTTTAGATCCTAGGTACCTCATTCGTATCGTAAGAGCCCACCACAGTAGGGATTGGGTGATCAGGCTAAGTGACTTGACCATTTGCCTGCCATTGGGTACCGATGGCGTGTGCGTGAATTGATGCTTTTCAGATTGCGATGGTCCGAAATAACGTCCGGGAGTGTCCGGTAGAATGAATTTAATCGTTAAATCGAGTACGTGGCCAAGCCGTCTTGATACAGCTGACTGTGGAGTTTATCAAATTGCACTCTTTCCTTTTGACATAGTGTGATGGGTGGTGGGTGACGCCAGTTTCATAAGTCGACCTCAGTTCTACGAGGGTCGAATGCGTATACAGGTCCACAGTCGTGGTCCCTGTATGATTGCTCTGTGAAACGAGGCCCTGGGGTCCCTGTCACAGCGCTAAGACTATTGTAAGTCTTTGCAAAAATATGGCAGTAACGATGGTCTCAGCGCTAAATATAAGGTCGCCTTGTGCAACATTCGTGACCAACTCGTGTTATTCCGGGACAAGCCGAATTACAGAAAGGGGCGAGTGATGACGAATGCTTGTGCAAGTGGCACCAGGTTATGATCATGTCCGAAAATATTACATGCCGGGGCCCTTGTGTAGGAAATATAGTCCACATTGTAACGCCTTAGTTTCCAAACAGCAAATTACTAATTGGCGAAACGGTTGAAACAACACGGTGTTCAGAGCTTCATGACATGATGCTTCATAGATGAATTAGTATTGACCTAAATCTATATTATTACGCGTATATAATTGCCTTAGGGGTGAAACAGCACGCATTTCACTCTGGTCAGCTGCCAGGACCCATTTGAACAAAGCGGTCTCAGCACCGAGTATTGTAGCATCACAGACATTGTAAATACCCAGATGATGCTTGTTTTTAAGAGAAAGTTGTCTTTTAAAAGGGAAGGATATGCTTTTCAGTTGTTCATGGGATTAGAGAGAAAACTACTAATATGTTTTGAGCTTCCGAAAACCCATAACACGGGCATAATTATTGTGGGTTTGAGTCCCAGTTCGTTACTGGCGATGTTTCGGGGTCGTCAGCACCATATTCGTGTTCGTGGATTTCACCGAAGTGGTTTAAATCTAATAGCTGCATAAATTTAGGGATTGTCTGGTTCAGACTCGATTATTTACAGACCGCGTCATATAGCTGGAATATTGCTGTTTAAACAACAAACAAACATAACCTGGGGCTTTCCTCCCATATAAAGATGACACGCGTTAAAAGCACTCGCTCACTACAATAGTTCCAGAGCTAAGATCGCATTGCAAAATAGGTCCAGTTAAACATCGAGTTATATTCATACACACGTTTCATGCACGTTTGGCAGATTTTAGGGACAGTTGTCCAAGCGGTCTAAGACGCCAAGCATAACTCGCAGTGCAAAGTTTTTTCCCTTATCTGTACAGGATCCGCTGGTCATGTATTTTCTCCTTGATCTGTCAGGACTATGCTTGAGTGATTCATCGTATGTGACCTGCAACATTTTCAACTTTGCTCCCTCTTGAAGTTGACCAGCAACAACGGTTTTACAGACGTTGGTTTTAGGTAACATTTTTTAAAAACCTACTAATTTCATTTATAGTGTGTATGTTTATGTAACTTGATAAAACGCCTTTGGCAAGCCTACAAACAAGTTGCATGGCCAAATTTACACCACGAATGATTGTCATATAACAATAAATATCAGGTGTGTTTTAATACAGCAAGTCGTATATTGTTTTCAACAGAAAGAAAACTCGAGTGTCTCTCTCATATATATGAACGCCCTTAATTGTTCGTAAATGCTTCCACTATTTTGGCAATTCTTATCGTGACATTATGTTTGTTGCCATTGCTTAATTCAATACCACTGAGCTCCCATTTTAATTTTCGGAAGCGAATTGTTCATGCTAAGGGACATTAATCTACATTTCTTCTGTATTCCCATTGTCTCCCTTTAACCTCTCGCGCTTTTAGGGAGGTCTCATTATCATATTTTACTGTTATCAATATCATGTTCTTTTGGGATACACTAGTCACCCTAGTGTTGTTTTATAATTATAGTGTACGTTATTGGCGATGTAAAATTGATATTGTGATAAATATACTTTGAAATAAAAGTGTTAAACTTTTGTTGATTGTTTAGTTAACCAACTGGTCACCGATAGGAAGATGGCGTCCGGGTCGATCGAGATCCCCTTGCGGGATACGGATGAGGTTAGTGTAACGTTACCATCGTTAATTTCGTACAGATAAGTTAATTAGTAACTTCATGAGTTCTTGATAATTCATATTCTTGATTTTCTGAGAAGAAACCCCAGATAACTGATCTTTTGGGGTCACATGCATGTCAGCATGTGCGTGAAATTTCGTTAGTCAACATGTGCAGCGTTGGCAGTATTAGGCTATTTGTTTTTGTTTTGAAATGTTTTTAAAAGTTGATGTTACATGTCTGTCATTGTCTAGAGCGTTCCTTTCATGAAACTTAGTATAATAGTTGTTGCAAAATGTGAAATTGCGACTGACTTTGTGTCTGTTTCGTCCATATTGTAAACATTGGTTCCCGGTTTGTAATGCACCCTGCCAGCTCCCTACATATATGATACATCTCATCAACCAGATACTTTATCTGGGATTTAAGAGGTGTAAAATTAGATTTCTGTTTGATACTTGTTTTCTATATGTTCTATGGCCTGTGTTGTTTGCATAATTTGAATGATAGAAACATATTGTCTTGATACCAAATGTTTGATCAGATGAAATATTAGCTTTTTCATTGCACCTGTGTACCTGTTTGGTGCAAATCATTTGGCCTGCAGTTTCAAATGTCTGCCAACATGGTAACATCCAGTTTTAATCTCATAATCATGGTATGATATGAAGCTCAACATGCTCAATATATCAGAGTAATTACACAAAGGCCATGAAGTTAAATACACTCGTGTTTCAGATGAGTGAAAAAGTGTTGACAGACTGTTTCTTCCTTTTATTACTGTTCTGTGTCCATCACAGTATGTAACAGGGAAGCCCAAATCATCCCAATTAGATGATTAGTAGGATGCTGGTGGCTTTTCTGCTTAGTTTTGTCCCAATTTAGGTAGGGTTATTCTTTCGTTTAGATCATGTAGAAAGGAAAATATATGTTTTTGGTACCATGACCGTGTATCATGTGTATACCAATCTACATGTCCTTAAATATCATGTACCACATATTGTTTTGATGTATCGTTTTACCCATGTTTCTAATCATGATAATGTTTCCATTATTTCAGGTGATCGAGTTGGACTTGGATCAACTACCAGAAGGAGATGAGGTTCTCAGTATTCTCCGCCAGGAAATGGCGCCACTTCATCTCTGGGTTACATTGGCTGTAAGTAAATCAGTTTCATTCAGGACTGACAGATCATTTCTTTGGAATAAGGTGAATATCACAATGATCACAGCGTCCACACCATGACGGTAATCATCATGATCATAGACAGATGCTTACTAGCATGATTTGGCTCATTGTAATCATGGTAATTTTACTTTTTCATATTTGTAGATGGTTATTTGCCAGTCAACAAGTCAACATAATTTTGTGAGAAATATTAAATAAGATGTTAAATTGTAAATGGCTTTTTGAAAGAAAGTATATACACATATTTTGGTCATCATGGTCATATGAGTTATGGGATTTTTAGCAACCTAGAACATATGTCTGTTCTGTTATATAACTAATCATAGTAATAGCTACAGTATCCTGTATTTACATCCTAACATTGCAGGCTCGCTGACGTAGTTGATGCATGTCATCGATCACAATTGCATGAATTGATGCTCATGATATCAATCACTGCATTGTCTGTTCCAGACTCGATTATTTACAGATCACCGTCATATAGCTGGAATATTGCTGAGTGCAGCGTTAGACAACAAACAAACAAAAACATCCTAATGGGTGTATGATCATTTCTTTTTACTATGTTAAAACAGGAAGCATTCTTTTTCAGCTTGAATACTACAAACAGACATATGTTGAGGATTTTGTCAAGATTTTGGAGGCTTCACGTACTGATGCTAGTCTGGACTATCAGAACTTTGAGCGTGATCAGATGCGAGCACTTGACACCCTTGCTGCATATTATGTACAGATGGCTCATAGAGAGAAAAACAAAGATGACAAGAGAGAATTGTTCACCAAAGCCACTCTGCTGTACACAACAGCTGATAAAATCATTATGTACGACCAGGTATGTTGATATGAACAAAACACTCCAAGGACAGTCATGTTTTGTTGATGTAATCATGTTATCTGGTTATTATTGACATGTTTGTAGTTTTTGAAATACTATAAAAATTATAATAGAGGAAGGGCATTAAGTACAAAGTCTTCTGAAAGTTCTATCAATGTATCTGAATTTAGAGTTATTATTTAAGCATGATGCATTTTTGATAATTCTTAGCCTTTTGAATGGAAGAAGTCATGTACTTTAAATATCTTTATATTTATTTTTTTGTCACAAATTCTTGATCGGAGTCTGGGGGAAAATTTGATCCTTAGTAACCTATGCTGGTTGTAAGAAGTGACTTGATGGAACAGATTTCAGAGTTGGTGACTTGGTTAATGGCTTGTCATTGTATCCTGGCATGGTTTGTGCTCATTTTATCAGTCACTGGACTGTCTGTCCAAACTTGACTATTTACAGGCCGCCATCATAGTGCCTGAATATGGTGCACTATAGTGGTGTTAACAACGAACAAATAATCTTAGATTTAATGGTACCTTTGTCGTGTAATTTGATTTTTTCTTCTAGAACCACTTGCTGGGCCGAGCCTACTTCTGTCTGTTGGAGGGGGACAAGATGGACCAGGCTGATGCACAGTTTAACTTTGTGCTGAACCAGGTACACATCTTAAGCAAGCAATTCTACAATGATATGCTATGAGAGTCCTTCAGGGGTATTTCCAATAGAAGTCTGTATGTCAAAACAAAGTCAACAGATTCCAGAATAAAGAGGTTAGAAATATTTTGATACCAGTAACCAATGGTAACTCATTGATAAAGGGCAGAACAGGTCCCCTGACTACAGGTGACACTGGAAAGTTACAATGAGTTACCTGGATGTTTTGTGTAATCATGCCCAGATGGCTTTCCACACTGTGATAACCTATAGCTGCAGCTGGAATGTTGCTGACTGAGGCATAAATAATGACAATTCAGTTGTCATTCTTGGACAAGAGGATAGGTATGAAAATAGATCACAGTAGCGTATGTGCACAGCATGCAGATAGTCTACCTCAATACGTCATGTGTTTGTATACACTATGTTCCTCCATCACCTCTGAATACATGTCTGCTCTGCATGTGGTAAGGGATGATCGGGTAGCCTAGTGGTTTAAAGCCTTCGCTCGTCATGACGAAGACCCGGGTTCGATTCCCGACATGGGTATAATGTGTGAAGCCCATTTCTGGTTTCCCCCGCCGTGATATTGCTGGAATATTGCTAAAAGCAGCTTAAAACCACACACACACACACACACACCCCTGCACTGAAAGTTTGCCGAGATGTCATATCGGATTATTGAACAATCTTGTTGAAAATAGATCTTAGTGCTCGCTACAGCTACACAAAGATCGGAGGACATCCCATAACAGGTCATGCCAGAAAAACCTTTTGCAAAGTTTGACTGACCAATGAGATGACTAAGAAGTTGACCTTAAGCAACCAGAAGACAGCTTTCTCAAGTTTTAAGGCACTAATTCCAAACTGGCGACTTCAATTCGAGACTACTCGAATTAAAAAATCATTTTTGACAAAGTTCTGGATTCAAAATTTGAAAAGTGAACAAAAGAAAATTCTTAAATGTCTAACAAATTGCTGATTTTGTATGGCAGTTCTCCCCATGGGCTATGGAAGGTCTTTTTCCATTTGAAATGTTTATTCAAATTGTTATAGACAATGATTTTGGCAGTACAGTCGTACAGCCTGTAACTGTCGTTATGAGTACCCCATGTTCACCTTTTCGCGTTGATTAAAAGACACATTTTCTTCTGTCACTTTTCCGATCTGGTAAGCGACCCTCTGATTGGTGGGATGAAAGGTCGTTCTGATGTGACCCTTGATGGGATGTCCTCAGATCTTTGTTTGGCGGTAGCGAGCACTAAGATCAGATTTAATGAGATTGGTTTATTATTGAACTATTTTCTGAGTTGTATCTAATTTTCAGTCAAGTAACAATATCCCCTCACTGCTGGGCAAAGCCTGCATTGCCTTCAACAAGAAAGACTATCGAGGTTCCCTGGCATATTACAAGAAAGCCCTGAGAACAAACCCCAACTGCCCTGCCTCAGTCAGACTAGGCATGGGGCACTGCTTCGTCAAACTTACCAGGCTGGAAAAAGCAAGGTTTGTATTTAGTATTGTGTAGGAGATTAGTGTGGTCAGCGTTGTTAATGATGTCACTCATATTATGATCTCAGGAACTTTTTCTAATTTGAAACCCCCGGCTAATACTGTCGATTCCAAATGAAATCCCTTGGTATTCAATACTCAATAGAAACCAATCAGATCTGAAATCTTATTATGTTTATTTCCAAACTGACAAATTGATTATTGGTTTATGTATGATACTGATTTATGTGCATAACAATGCTTCTTGGCTTTGTGTGTGTGCCATACTTGTTGTCAGAGCTGACTGACTAAAAGCATTTGATGGTCAGGCTCTATGATTTGACTCATTACATGTTATCATGCTCTGCAGTTTGTCTGTTATTTACTCAATTATTTACCCGATACAGCTGGAATATTCATGATGTTGCTGAGTTAACAACACTCACTGACCACAGTTATTTTTAGAGCCTTTTATCATAATTATTGCCATTAATTATATTCATGTGTTTCATTTCAAATCCTAACTGCCTTCGTGGTCTAGTGTTAGAGCATCCGCCCGGAGAGCGGAAGGTCAGGCGTTCAATCCCCGGCCGCGTCATACCAAAAGATGATGGTACTTGTTGTTACCCTGCCTTGCGCTTGGCATTAAGGGGTTAAAACAAGGACTGGTCAGCTCGGGAGTCAGTATACTGTGTCTGTGTGGGGTATACATGTTAAACTGCGGCATGGTATCTCAGTGGGCTGGCTCTCTAAAATCGGCATTAGTCTGGATTAGTTCAAGCAGCAACACACACACACGTGAATGCATGTTGCTATATAAGTGCATTAATCTTGAACGCTATGTTAAACCCCATTTTGCCTCACCTCATTACAAATCCGAAGTTGTATTTTGATATGTTTTTGTCTCTCTGTTGTAGGATGGCTTTTGAACGGGCCTTGATGCTTGACGCCAACTGTGTAGGTGCGTTGGTTGGCCTGGCTATCCTGGAACTGAATGCCAAAACCCAGGATTCAATCAAGAATGGTGTACAGCTGCTCTCAAAGGCCTACACCATTGATTCCACTAACCCCATGGTCCTCAACCATCTTGCCAACCATTTCTTCTACAAGAAGGTACAGAAGTCATAACAATTACAGTTAAAGACATCTTGATACACTGTAGATCTTAGGGCATGAGTGGCCTAGTAGTTTAAAGCACAATTTGTTTTGCAGGCTTATGTCCCTTATTTGATCAAGGATCCAGTGACTGAGGGATCAAACCCAACAATGTCCCTGATTATGATGTTCAGGTTTTCAAGATGCTGTGCTCTTATTTTACATGAAGTGTCTAAGACTTGCATTGCTATGGGCTTTCCTCCTGTATAAAGCAGACATGCTGCAATATGACTGAAATACTGTAAACGGGGATGTTTACTCCAGCTCACTCACAAGTGAATTTACTCTTTCTGTAGACTCCAGTATTGCTAAAAAGGAAATACGGTATCAGAGAATCACCAACAAGCTAAAGGATTATCAGTCCCAAGGGAAGGAATGATATAAGCTGAAACCTTTGATGAGAGACAGAAGCTTTTATTTCGAGTTGTCTACTCTGTATCATATTCATAGAATTGAGTATTGTGAACTCAACATTTATCATTATGGTTCATAGTAAGTTACTTTCAGGGAAGTATTTGTGTGTGGTCCGTCTTTAGTGACTGCCGTCAGACTCTTAGTATGGTAACTTACAGTGCAAACAGGACCAGTTGTGAAATGACAAGCAAGTGACATCACATCAGACATAACAAGACTGTGACACGCCAGCTAGACAATGTAACGAGTACTAATATTGCTTGTTGTTTGTCTCTGATAGGATTACCAGAAGGTTCAGCACCTGGCCCTGCATGCCTTCCACAACACAGAGAACGAGGCCATGAGAGCTGAGAGTTGTTACCAGCTGGCCAGAGCCTTCCATGTACAGGTCAGACACACTGTGATTCCTGCCATACTTCTGTCCACATGGACCATGTTGCCAGCAAAGATACTAGTGTGGACAACTCTGTTACGTTGTTTTTAATCATGCAAGTGTCCTTGTGCTTTAACTATAATATTTCAAGGAAAAACATACTGTATTCGACGTAACAAGCGCCCACGGCGATATTTGCTAATATATTGGCTTATGAAGAATCCCAATTAGCAGCCCTTCCAATTGATCAATGTACACAAGACTTATATTCGTGTATAATACGCACTCATGTGTTATATGCACCTTTAATTATGGGCAGTTAATTACATTAAGTAATACGTTACCACTGTTATACCGAGGCTGTTGTCTCCCACAACTGCTGCTATAGCGAAATCTACCACAGAGATCTCAATTACCTCATGCAGCACGTGCGTAGCCACCTAGCTGCCATGTGACACACTTCACTCTTGTCTCCTTCGTCTGCTTAGCAAGACGTGTTTTCTCCTGCTGAAGCGTTCCTTGAAGATTTGGTGATATTTATTATAGTTTATTCTCTAATAAACTGTGTTTTTATGGGTCGTTGCGGTAGCTACGCTTGGTTATAATTTTCCCGCCAAATGGAAAATTTTTCCCGCCCTTTTTTCTATATACTTGCGGGGTTCGCGTATGCACGTTGTGTTTTACGTTTCCCCTGTTCTTGTATGTTTTGGGGGTTAACATAACTTATTTCTTTAATAAAAGTTATATGTGTATGTTATATGTTCACATTGCTCGTTTATTTTCTTGTGAAAATGTTCGTTTGTGAATCATTGTGGTGCGTGCGTTGTAACCATGTTTTGTTCTTTGTTTATAGCAAACAATCAATGTCTGACATGGATATGTCCCCAGTATCCACCCCCTCTACCCCTGCTCCTCGGAGTTGTGGGGTGTGCAGAAAGTTTTTGTCGTCCCGGGATCCCCACGATCGTTGCCCGCGGTGCAGGGTTCCTTGCGGGGACACCCGGTGCATCCTGTGCGAAGGTCTGGGGCCTGCGGAGTTTGAGCGGTACCGGCTGTACGTACAGTCCGTCTCCACCCCTGTGGTGGCCGGTTCGTCCGGTCGGGGTCCCCGTGCGGGTACCACCTCCTCGGCTGCGGCGGATCCCCTTGCGGCCCTCGGGCTGTCTGGGGATTCCGTCGCCGCATTGTTGTCGAAACTTGTGGACTCCAAGCTGGCGGCCTTATCGCAAGATAGGCCGCTGGCTGTTCCGTCCCCGGCCTCTTCGGTGGCCGCGGGGTCGGACGCGGGGTCCAACGGTAAAGCGGCGGATCTCTTGGCGGCCCGTGTGCTGTCCGGGGATTCCGTCGCTGCATTACTTGCATAACTTGTGGACTCCAAGCTGGCGGCCTTATCTCAGGATAGGCCGCTGGCTGTTCCGTCCCCGGCCACTTCGGTGGCCGCGGGGTCGGACGCGGGGTCCACCGGTACGGCGGCGGCTCCCGTGGTCACCGGTCCTTCCCCCGAACCGTTGCTCCCGCTATCGGTTTAGGACAGCATGGCCATGGTTTATGACCTCTTTGAGGACATGCCCCGGCCGGTACCGCGGGGAATCCACGACTGTGGGTTCCTCCGAGGTATACGATGAGTCTTCCGACGCGGCTTTCCCCGCATCGACCTTGCTGCGCGGTTTCAAGCCTTCCTTGGAGAACGCCTTCGTGGCGGCCTCCGGTCGGGGTCTCCCGTTGCCTCCGACGTCGTGGAGAAAGGGTTTATTCCCGGTACATGACCTTGCCTTTCCTGAGGCTGGTCCTACCGCGGAGGCCCATGTCTTTCCTGAGGCTGGTCCTACCGCGGAGGCCCATGTTGAGCGGTTGGGTGTCCGTGCCCCACCGGCTGCTACGGTAACGCAAGCTACCTTGCACCAGCTGGACGCCCTCGCTCGGCACTCCATGTCTCACGGAGACACTTACTTGGCTGCAGCGGCCCGTCTGGTCGAAGGTTCTCCCACGGACCGTGACCAGCGCATTTACAACTGCCTGCTCAGTTTAAATGCTTCCCTGGAGTACGTTGCCGAGGACTCTCGGCACACACTTGCTCTTGTTGGGTCCCTGCATAGGCGCCTGGGTGCCGCTCCTAACCGCCTTTCGCACGTCGCCTCTTGGAGCAATTTGGGTGGATTATCAATCTCCCCAAGAGCGAGTTAACCCCTTCTCAGAACTTGCTGTTCATCGGAGGTCGGTTCAACATGGTGTCCCATCGCCTCTTTGTCCCCCCAGACCGGTGGCACAAAATTCAGGCGATGATTGCCAAAGTCTTAGCGGTGCAACAGACTGTTCACTTTTGGGAACAGCTGTTAGGGCTACTTGTATCAGCCCAGGACTGCACCGCACGGGGTCGTCTCCAACTCCGCCCGCTGCAACTGTTTTTAATCCAGTTGTTAGCAACGGAGGTGAACAGTGCGACCGTCGCCCTCCCGGATCGGCTCCGACCGCATCTGGAGTGGTGGACGGTCCCTTACATTGTCTTATCAGGAGTCTCTATGCGGCCCTACCGGGCCACGTTGACCCTGTATACAGACGCCTCTCTAGTGGGCTGGGGCGCCCATCTAAAGGGGGAGGTGAGCTCGGGGCTGTGGTGCGTAGAGGAACTAGGTCTTCACATCACTTGTCTCGAGTTCAAGGCAGTGATCAACGCAGTCAATCACTGGAAGCATCGTCTCGTCGACGCCCGGCTCATGCTGGCGACCGACAACACGACGGTAGTGTCCTATGTGAACAAACTGGGGGGAACCCACAGTCACTCGCTACTCGATCTCACGTTCGAGTTTTACGCTCTGGTGGACAGTGTCCCGTGCCAGATACACGCCCGTCACATCCCAGGTGTGCGGAACGTACTGGCCGATGCTCTATCGAGGCCTCAGGATCCGAGCCCCACAGAGTGGATGCTGAACCCAGTAGTGTTTCAGTGGCTGTGCGAACGTTTGGGTCGTCCGATGGTCGACCTGTTCGCAACGCGGTTCAACAATCAACTCCCGTTGTTTGTATCACCAGTCCCGGACCCGAGGGCCATCGATCACGATGCTCTCGCGTTAGACTGGACGGGCTTGGTCGCTTATGCTTACCCGCCGACAGCGTTGATACCACACATTCTAAGCCGGCTCCGAGGAGTTCGCTGTCGAATGTTACTGATCGCGCCCATGTGGCCGAACAGATCGTGGTACCCCGACTTGCTGACCCAGGTCACGCAGTCGCCACTTCCACTGCCTGTGAGACCGGATCTCTTGATCCACCCTCACACCCGTCAGCTTCATCCAAATGCAGGGCAGTTCAATCTGCACGCGTGGATGTTGTCAACGAGCGTCTGAGGAGTAAAGTTTTTTCTCGCCGGGCGTCTCGGGCATACGTTAGTATGCATCGTGATTCTACCCAGAAGGTGTATAATGCACGTTGGGTTATTTTCACGTAGTGGTGTTGTAAACATCACATTCATTCGCCAGATAAGGTATCTGTGCAGGATATTGCTCGTTTCATGTCTCACTTGCGAGAGACCCGGAAACTCTCCGGGGGTTCCATTGCCAACTATGTCTCGTCCGTTGCTACGGTACGGGACGTTGCTATGGGTACCAGTCTCTCCAAAGAGCCGGTGATACGGGGTATTATCAAGGGTTTCAAACAGCACGATCTTAAGAAGGGCCGCCTTCGGGCACCAACCTGGGATCTTTCCCTAGTGTTGCAATCACTTACGGAAGCTCCGTATGAACCCTTGCATAGTGCTTCGTTCCGGCATGTGACTTGGAAAACAGCATTTCTCCTCTCCTTTGCCACGGCGGCACGTGTATCCGAAATTCATGCACTCGATGTCGCCAAGGTACGATTCGATAGGGGTGACGAAGGAGCGGTCCGCCTGGGCCTGCTCATGGGCTTCGTCACCAAGAATCAGAGAGTCGGGCAAACGGAGAGAGAATTCACTGTAAGATCACTCAAAGAAATCTTACATCCTGCTGATACTGAGGACAGAGTGCTGTGTCCGGTTAGGGCCCTTAAGTATTATCTTAAGGCTTCGAATGAACGTAGACAAGGGCGTGACCGTCTGTTCATATCGTGTAACCCTAATCGCACGGTTGACATTACTCGCAACTCGATTGCGTTGTGGCTTCGTTCTGTCATCAATCTGGCGTACCGGTCTCGGGGGTTACCGGTAGCGGGGTCAAACCCGCACGAGATCAGGGCGCTAGCGGCAACATTTGCCCTACACTCGAATATCTCTGTTCGCAGAATATTACGAGGTTGTTACTGGCGTTCTGACTCGGTTTTTGCCAATCATTACCTCAAACAGGTCGCTGATGCCGTCGTGGAGAGTGTGCACCGTCTTGGCCCGCGGATCGCAGCGCAAGCGGGCACCTAAGGGGTGTGCCCAGCGCAATTCCGAACTCCTCAGGCATCTGACCTTGCACGGTGGTCAATCTGGGTCGACTCCAATGTTCCCACTGCCGTGGGTACAGGAGTTGGGGTCCCGCAAACCAGCGCACTCACACCACAGGTGAGGGCGGCTTTTTGTGTGCTTTGTCCTTATTTGTATTTTGACAATTATGTCTTTAATTGTCTGTCGTGTATCCCAACCTTGTGATGCATGCTTACAAATACTGGAATTAGGTCACGCGCCTAATGCATACTTTAAGTAGGCTTGCTCTGGGATATACGGTCTGAATGAAATTAATTTCCCTCTTTTCGACTGTTTAACCTGATCTAAGATTAAGCTCACGCGGATACAGTGTTCTCATCCGCTGCGGCGATGAAATACCTATCCAGTGGGGCCGTTTGGAGTCACCAATCGTTTTGGCAATGACGATTGAGCCTTACGGTATGCGCTTGACAGTGCTTTGGTATTCCTATAGGGTAACGCCTAGCTAGGTGCATGCGCATCGAGTGCTTCCGCCTTGGTGTTTACTTCCGCTGGTCGGAAGGAACGCTAGCAGTCAGGATTCGGGTTGTAGGTGCTCCCCACCGCCTACTGTGGTAGTCAGCCTCGGTATAACAGTGGTAACGTATTACTTAATGTAATTTGTAGAATTTTCCTATTCGGAATATTCTATAAGTAATACGTTACCACTGGGCTGCTGCCCGCCCGTCCGTCCCCCGAGCACTTGCTCTCGCAGGAGACAAGAGTGAAGGGTGTCACATGGCAGCTAGGTGGCTACGCACGTGCTGCATGAGGTAATTGAGATCTCTGTGGTAGATTTCGCTATAGCAGCAGTTGTGGGAGACAACAGCCTCGGTATAACAGTGGTAACGTATTACTTATAGAATATTCCGAATAGGAAAATTCTACAAAATTCTGGAAAATATATCTGTTGTGTATAATACACACTGATTCTTCTTTTGTATCATTTCAGGCTGTCAGCATAAACCACGAAATTTACGATCTTTCAACTCTGTTTCTTTTTCTCACTAAAAATTATATTCTAATAAGAGCCCCCTATTTCTAATTTTGAGAGTGCCCTGGGCGCATATTACATCAAATACGGTACACGGTGGGGATAGAGCAAACTTTATTTCTTTTTGATATAATGGTTATAGACCTTGAGTCTACTGTTTCACACTGTGAGTTATACATATGTGACTTGAGACAGATCCTACCATATTATTAGTAAGAAAGTTACGAGTCTGAAGAAATCGGGTTGTAATCATGGTACTGCTTGTCTGATATCTATATGGGTCAGATTTGTAATTGACTCTTCAATCAACCGCCTTGTGTAAAAGGCAAGGGGTAACCTAGTGGTTTAAGCTGTGTCTTTTACCCTTCAAATAATGGGGCTGGTTGTAGCCTTATGATTAAAACTATAGACAGGTTTTCTTGACTTTGAGTGATGGGTGTTTGAGGTGTGTCTGTTGAATGTTTCAGGGCGACTATGACCAGGCCTTCCAGTACTATTACCAGTCTACACAGTTCTCACCCGGCAACTTTGTGCTTCCCTTCTTTGGACTTGGTCAGATGTACATCTACAGAGGAGATAATGACAATGTACGTTTTGCGTCTGTCCATGGTTCTTGTTCATATCTTTTGATATTTGTTGTAATGACATCTGCACTCATAAGTTTTAGGTATTTCAGAACATGTCTTGCAGCAGCAGGTTTTTTACTTATCCTGCATTACTCCTTAATGCATATTACTGCTTGTTCCTTTGGTCACATGGGAGCTGTGTGATAGGGTTGGCCTTTCAGCTAGTTGGAACCACTTCTTCAAGCAAAGACCTTCACACAGCTCTTTTCTCTGTCAAAAACAAGCAGTAATATGCATTAAGGAGTAATGCAGGATAAGTATACAAATATAAAAAAAATATCTAGGATTTTACTAGCTTTAAATATAGTAAACTATGTTTATGACAAACACCCTTATAACGAACTGATGGATAAAACGAACTGTTCTTTTGATCCCGGTCATATTCCATATATTTTATCATGTAAAGTTGATGGATATATAACGAACACGCTCATAACGAAATAACAGATATAGCGATCTCTCCTTGTGGTTCCATGTGTACTCTGTCAATGCTAATGTTTAAGTGTATAACGAACTGTTAATCCCTGAGCTGAGCTGCCCACGTGTCACCAATTTGCCTATCAAAACATCTGCGGCCTAGTGCGGCTGTTCAAAGCGTCAATAAATAACTGGAGGCAATTGATTTACTCTAAAGCACTGACACCCTGTCACTGTCCTCAAATTACACCCTCAAGTAACAGTAGTAACACAGTGATTGAAGTGGATATATTGTGTACGTGTACAGTGCACACTTTTGTTATTTATCGAGTAACATGATGTCACATGACTTGATAAAAGATGTCTGACGGTCATCGGTCATCCGGATATAACAAACTAAAATTATTGGTTCGTTATGACCATAGTTTACTGTATGTATTTTACAAATGAGTTAAGTTCTTCTCATGATTATTGTTATAATTATGATTCTTTTGATAATGATGTTATTGAAACAGTCTTATGTAAGTAAAGATAATAATGATAGGCCCTGTAAATAGTTTAAGACTCCACTCTACGTATGCTCAAAGCACATGACATTACCCTGGTGAAGAGATCAGTGTGCATTCCTAGTTGCATTATCAGCTCCCTGGGGAGTATACTACCCAAGCTGCACTAGAAGGGTTTGCATTCACTCCACAATCTCACCCAAGAGGGAACCCATTTGCTGATGGTTGAATAGAGGCACAGTTTGAACACATGGAGGCACCAATGTGTTAATTAACCCACGTTTAGTGCAAGCAGGACCAATACCCTAGAATCTATCCATATTTGAGCTTGCAGAGCAGTCACCGATCCAACTACTTTGAACAGCAATCATTGCTTTACTTCACTCATCTGTGACAGCAATCATTGCTTTACTTCACTCATCTGTGACCTGTATGCTAAGGACAGGACCAAGTAATACCACTTCAGTTGTACATCTGAGGACTGGTTGAAATTATAAGTATAAGCATTAAGACTTTAAGTATTCCTAAATGCTCTGATGTTTTGATATCATGGAGGGGTGTTGCAAAGAGGGAGAGAAGGTTTAAAGACCTAGATATGTTTACCAGGCCTCCCAGTGTTTTGAGAAGGTGCTGAAGGCTCAGCCCGGCAACTATGAGACGATGAAGATCCTTGGGTCACTGTATGCCAACTCCCCAGAGTCTGAACGCAGAGACACAGCAAAAGTGAGTTACAAATCACATCGATGTTAGAAGTGGCGTGTTTAGGAAAATATGTTTGATTAAATTCTAGTTTGAAAACTTTGTATCAGTACTATACTCAATGTTGTAAGAATGATCCTTTATCACAAGTCTTCCTCTCCTCATGTATCCACTCACTGTTGATAAACTGACTGGCTGCCTAACAAGTCTGCTTGAGGTAGTGAAGGCCGTCAATAGGTGGCACCATCACATAGGGTAGTCAATGTCATTTAATGTGTGCTTCAGTGACTTTGTCCAAGTACCATTACATGGGGTAGTCAATGTTATTTTATGTTTGCTTCAGTGACTTTGTCCAAGTACCATTACATAGGGTAGTCAATGTCATTTAATGTGTGCTTCAGTGACTTTGTCCAAGTACCATTACATAGGGTAGTCAATGTCATTTAATGTGTGCTTCAGTGACTTTGTCCAAGTACCATTACATAGGGTAGTCAATGTTATTATCCCCCGCCGCGCGAAAGCGCGAAGCGGGGGATATAGTATTCACGACCGTCCGTACGTCCGTCCCACCTGTTTGTTGCCGCGATATCTCAAGAACTAAACACTGGATTGTCTTCATATTTGGAACTATGGTGTATATACAGACTCCGCAGACACCAGTCGGTTTTGGTGACCTTGATCCCATTTTCAAGGTCACAGCAGACAAATCTGCTTTTAGAGTTGGAAAACGGTGTTGCCGCGATATCTCAAGAACTAAACACTGGATTGTCTTCATATTTGGAACTATGGTGTATATACAGACTCCGCAGACACCAGTCGGTTTTGGTGACCTTGATCCCATTTTCAAGGTCACAGCAGACAAATCTGCTTTTAGAGTTGGAAAACGGTGTTGCCGCGATATCTCAAGAACTAAACACTGGATTGTCTTCATATTTGGAACTATGGTGTATATACAGACACCGCAGGCACCAGTCGGTTTTGGTGACCTTGACCCCATTTTCAAGGTCACAGCAGGCAAATCTGCTTTTGGAGTTGGAAAACGGTGTTGCCGCGATATCTCAAGAACTAAACACTGGATTGTCTTCATATTTGGAACTATAGTGTATATACAGACTCCGCAGACACCAGTCGGTTTTGGTGACCTTGATCCCATTTTCAAGGTCACAGCAGGCAAATCTGCTTTTAGAGTTGGAAAACGGTGTTGCCGCGATATCTCAAGAACTAAACCTCTCGATTGTCTTCATATTTGGAACTATGGTGTATATACAGACACCGCAGACACCAGTCGGTTTTGGTGACCTTGACCCCATTTTCAAGGTCACAGCAGGCAAATCTGCTTTTGGAGTTAGAAAACGGTGTTGCCGCGATATCTCAAGAACTAATCGCTGGATTGTCTTCATATTTGGAACTATAGTGTATATACAGACACCGCATACACCTGTCAGATTTGGTGACCTTGACCCCATTTTCAAGGTCACAGCAGGCAAATCTGTTTTTGGAGTTGGAAAACGGTGTTGCCACAATATCTCAAGAACTAATCGCTGGATTGTCTTCATATTTGGTACTATGGTGTATATGGCGGGGGATATTTCGTCACTCTGTGACAAATACTTGTTTTATGTTTGCTTCAGTGACTTTGTCCAAGTACCTTTACATAGGGTAGTCAATGTAATTTAATGTGTGCTTCAGTGACTTTGTCCAAGTACCATTACATAGGGTAGTCAATGTTATTTCATGTGTGCTTCAGTGACTTTGTCCAAGTACCTTTACATAGGGTAGTCAATGTTATTTTATGTGTGCTTCAGTGACTTTGTCCAAGTACCATTACATAGGGTAGTCAATGTCATTTTATGTGTGCTTCAGTGACTTACCCAAGTACGTTAAAGGTTGGGTTTGCAGTTGGAATTGAAAATCCACATTTTCAAGAGGTTACCCTGACTGTTTATCATTGATTAGATGTACAACAAGCCTTTAATACTGCTACCTAACTCTTACTAATTTAGCAAATAATGTTGTTTGCTTATGAATAGATACCATCAACAATATAAATCAACTCGAGTCTTAATCATGTTAACTTACATCCGTGTGCAAATATTTGATTCTGCTTTCCGTAGTAGTAATGTGAAACACACTTCTTCTCAGCAACACTTGAAGAAGGTGACTGAACAGTTCCCGGATGATGTCGAGGCCTGGATTGAGCTGGCACAGATTCTGGAACAGTCCGACGTACAGGTCAGTTGAAATCCTCCTCCCAATCATTCCTGGCCTGCCTCTGTGGTCTAGTGGTCTAGTGACTGCCCAGAGTGTGGAAGGTCAGTGGTTTGATATTCCCTGGCCACGACATACCTTAATATGTTAAAAGATTTTACTTGTTGTTTCCCTGCCTGGCTCTCGGCATTTAAAGGATTAAATAGGGACTGGTTGGGTAAGTCAGGTATCCATCTTAAACTGCAGCGTGGTATATCAGTGGGCTAGTCCTACGAAACCGGCATACGTTTGGACTAGTGCATTTAGCCAGACACACATGTCCATGCTAATCTCTATATTAACCCATTTCACTGCACCACCTCCCAATCAATTTAAGAATTTCATTAATGGAGTCATTCCTTGAGACACATTTTCATTTTACATATTTTAGGAAAACTTCACATGCACTACCACAAAACTTGGGTAATAGTGTGCATGGTTACTTGGGTAGTATATTTTGACCAGCCGTAGCTGGAAACATTGTTTACTTACAGAAAATATGTTTGTGTAACTCAAAAAGCAGACACGATTTCAGATTATTATTTGAAACTGCTTTACTGAAGATCAGACACTAGTTACTGATCATGAAAGTCATTCAGTATGACCTCTGCCTTCTAGGGTGCATTGTCAGCATATGGAACAGCAACACGTATCCTGAAGGAGAAAGTTCAGGCCGATGTACCTCCTGAGATCCTCAACAATGTTGCTGCCCTCCACTTCAGGCTCGGCAACTACCAAGAGGCCAAGGTAACCATGGAAACTGATGTGGAACGTCTTTTGGTCTGTCTTGTTAAGAGGGGAACGGGTGGCCCAGTCGTCTAAGGTGCTGCGATTCGCTGTGCAGAGTTGCGTCCCTTGGGAACGCCAGAAACCTATGATTGTGGGTTCGAATCCCGGTTCGCCCATGATTATGTTTCTAGGTTTGTCAGCACCATACCCGTGCTCATAAAACACCTTCTTTTCCCACTGTTCTTGTGTATATCATTTGTGTCATTAATGCCCATATACACATATCAACTTCTATTTTCTACAGAAGTATTATGAAGCATCATTAGAGAGATCTCGGAACGAGGCTCAACATGATGAAACCTACTACAGCGCCATCTCCGTGACAACCACATACAACCTGGCACGACTGTACGAGGCGCTGAATGAGTATGATAAAGCGGACAAACTCTACAGGAACATCCTCAGGGAGCATCCTAACTATGTAGACTGTAAGTGGATGGAATGATTGCACTACTGCTCAACTAACTCCAGAAACAACATGACCTGACATTTGAGTCTGTAGTTTGAGACTTTCGCCACTAGTCTTAAGCCCAAGTCTGGTAAAATTCTGTTTGTTCTCATCTCAGCTGGTAATAGTCCATATGATAACTCTAAAGTGTACTGAACATGATGATAAGAGCCAAGTTTGGGCTAGTAGACTCAAATGTTTTTGGCATATACTGAATCTGCGGATCTACATCACCCGTACAGTCATTAACAATAAAAGGTGTAGAAGATTCGCTGTGCAGAGTCACGTCCCTTGGGCACGCCAGAAACCTATGATTGTGGGTTTGAATCCCGGTTCAAATCCCAGTTAGCCCCAGTAATGTTTCTAGGTTTGTCAGCACCAGACCCGTGCTCGTGGATTTCAATGAAGTGGTAAACAGCTGAGACCTGCATCACTTCGGGCTTTCCTCCCACATTAAGCTGACTCGCCGCGATATAACTGTAATACTGTTAAAAGCATGGTTAAACCCAACTCACTCACTCTTTATTGCTTCTTGCAAATGGTGGCTAAGTGGATTGGTTGGTGACTGCATGCCATTGTATCCCAACAGCATGGGATGATCTCATATTGCCCTCTGATTTCTCTGGTCCAGGCTAGATTATTTAGAGACTGCTGTGATATTGCTCGAGTGTTGAAGACTCAGCATGTGTTCGATACTGATAAAAGCATGTTACCACGATTGACTCACCAAATGTCTGAACATATAGAAAACTCATTTCAACATACTTGAATATTTTGTCACAGTGTTGTGTGTTTGTGTTGACAGGTTATCTGCGACTGGGCTGTATGGCTCGAGACAGAGGTCAGATCTATGAGGCATCAGATTGGTTCAAGGAAGCTTTACAGATTAATCAGGTGAGAATGAATTGCAAAAATTCAAATTGATTTTTTGATCTTCATTTTATCAGTCCCAGCAGGTTTGCAGCGTTAAACCCCATTTCACCCTCACTTCACCCCACCTCATGTCACCTCACCGAAAGAGATGTCTATGTGGAATGGATGATGTTCTGGTTAATTCCATGATGGTGTTGTTCATAGCAGTAATCCCTAGACATCTGTCCTTTATATACTCAGACCGCCTCCATGGTCCAGTGGTAGAGCTTCCGCCCGGAGAGCGGAAGGTCTGGGGTTCGATCCCTGACCGCGTCATACCAAAAGACGTTAAAAGATGGTACTTGTTGTTACCCTGTCTGGCGCTCAGCATCAAGGGGCTAAAACAAGGACTTGTCGGCATGGAGTCAGTATACTGTGTCTGAGTAGGGTATTCATGTTAAACTGCGGCATGGTATCTCAGTGAGCTAGCACTATAAATCAGCATCAGTTCGGATAAGTACAAGCAGCCACACACACACACACACACACACACGTTCATGCACGTCGCTATATAAGTGCAATAATCTTGGACGCGACGTTAAACCCCATTTCACCTCACCTTTATATACTCAACATTTGAAAGGGATACTGGACTATTTCATACTATTATTAAACTAGAGGACAGGTATGTAACTTTAATGAAGTTGAATATGCTCCTGTTGCATGGAATTATTGGATCTGATTTGTATGATGCCATTTCCAAGCAGCCAATCACACACAAGTCCCACACTCAGAATATCCCTGTCAGATATGGAGTACTATATACACTTGGAATCTTGGTGAGTGCGGTGTTAAACAACAAACAAAACAAACAAAACAAATGTAGAACTGATCATCTTTATTCAGGATCATCCTGATGCGTGGTCGCTGATCGGCAACCTCCATTTGGCTAAACAAGAGTGGGGGCCTGGACAGAAGAAGTTTGAGCGTATCCTGCAACGGCCTGGTACGAAGGATGATGCCTACTCCCTGATTGCCCTCGGCAACGTGTGGCTGCAGACTCTTCATCAACCAATGAGAGATAAGGACAAGGTAGGACCCAGTATCTTAACACCCTGTGTTGTGGTTTTGGGGCAAATAGCTCCCCAGTAACCCTTGCTTGTCACAAGAGCTGACTTGGGTGGTTCAGGTGTGGTGCTGGTAAGAATATAGGTCCCCAACAACCTATGATGGTTGTAGGGGGCATCTTAATGTATCAGGTGGTCAGGTTTGGTGACTTGGTTGCATTTCGTCATATCTCAATAGTGTGAATCGAAGCTCATGATGTCAGTTACTTGATTGTCTGGTCCAGACTAAATTATGTACAGACAATACAGCTGGAATAATGCTGAGTGCAGTATAAACAGTGAACAGAACCAAAGAGGATGTGTGACCTGGGCCATTATGATGTTGATGCTGTTGATCGCTCCTCCTATTTACAAGGCACAGTGCTGATAGCAAAGTAGCATTATACATCATTCATTTGTATTTAATTGTTAGTTAATTGAGGTGATCTTGATTGAAACAAATCTATGTGATGTTGGACTGGAGGTCAGTCTGTTTCTGTTATCAACTGTTTATAGTTCAATTTTCAAAATGAGAATTCAAAGAGAGATAGCAAAAATGAATTGTCAACTTTAAGGAGATAGATGACCAAATTGGCCAAAAATAACCATGTCGGGTGTGAAAATAGTATTAGGCTGTGTCCTGTTGATAAAGGAACTCAGTCATTATGAAATATTGCCGTGTTTTTGCTGGACCGATTTGGGGGCTTCATCTCGTGATGTACATGATGCAGCCTGGTGATCTAGGATGACTGAAAAACACTCTCTGAGAACTTTTATCCAGTATTTACCTGTTCCCATGTACAAGACATGCTATGTACATGATCCTGTCACTACGGAACTGAGAGACATGAAATCTATGTTGACTCCAGGAAAAGCGTCACCAGGACCGAGCCCTCGCCATGTACAAGCAGGTCATGAGGAATGATTCTCGCAACATCTGGGCTGCTAATGGCATTGGTGAGTAGCACTGTATGTTTCACCCTATTTAAGAAAAAAAAGACGAGTGGAAGTTGTTTATCATACAATAAAACACTGCCAGGAGATTAAACCTTGCAGTGTGTTTATTATTAATAATGTTGACTCCCTGAATAGAATCCGACCTTGGAAATGTCGGATAAGCCAATTTACGTTAAATCTGGTGTTTCCCTCATATTTGATTTTCTGTACATTTTCTCCCAATACCGATTGTCATATCTCTCCCATTTTGGATTCGAACTTTTGGCCACTGCTTAGCCCAGCTACATCTATGAGGAATAACTTTCTAGACACCTCCCCCTCAAAAATAACATTGTCCAATATATGGTGTCATCAAGTTGTGAGCGGATATTCGAATCTACAGGAATGACATCAGGATAGAACAATGTTTTATCATGAAACCTACTCGTACCATGCTTCTTTCTTCATTGTTCTTTGAAATGTATCTCGTGGGTGTCTGATATTTCTAAATATGACAACTCAGTCCTTGAAAAAATCCATGGGGATTATAGCAGGAGTCCCCATCTCTTCATGCTAGTCATAAGAGCTGACATAAAGGATCATCACAATCAAAGGCTAGAGTGAGTTGGGTTTTGACAGCACTACAGTCATATCACAGCGCACCAGCTTAATGTGGGAGGAAAGCCCGAAGTGATGCAGGTCTCAGACGTTTACCCCTTTGGTGAAAGCCACGAGCACGGGTATGGTGCTGACAAACCTAGAAACATAATCGGGGCGAACCGGGATTCGAACCCACAATCATAGGTTTCTGGCGTGCCTAAGGGACATTACTCTGCACAGCGAATCACGGCGCCTTAGACGACTGGGCCACCCATGCCCCCATCAAAGGATAGAAGCTGGGTACAAGATAAATTAAGATGGTGTGATAATATTAACTTATTAATCTTCAGATCTAATGAAGATGATTAACAAATGAAGGCAATTATAAAGTACAAGATGTTTATTGATAACATGCTGTATTTGTCATCAAAACATGCACAAAACAATTGATTATCACAGGTTGTAACATAAATAAAGCACTATGCATATGAAATGGGGATGATGTCATACATGTGGATGTCCTTTTGAACACAGAAAGGTTTCCAGTAGCACTGCCGGGATCTCAGACATTATACAGACTTCATATGTAATATCATTGTCAGGTTCACAAATCCTTACACGGTTTGACATCATTCAGGTGATATGATTGTCCATATTTCACAACTGGAATATGCCAGACAGGAACTCCTCACAATGCTTGGCAGCAGCTACAGATTTGGCAGATCGGGGTCTCCTGGTTCTGTGTCTCTTGTTGGAGAACCACTTTCTGAGCTGAGAGAGTGTGATGCCTCCCTTGTTGGCCATGTCCTCAGCTTCTGTATGAGTGGGGTAGGGGTTGTTGAGATGCTCGTGGTACCACGTTTCCATCAAGATGATGGATTCAGGATTGAGGTTTCTGCTGGCAGGACGGGACCTCTTGTCTTGGTTCTCTAGGGTGTTCAGACTTCTCTCGATGTTGGTGAGGACCAGGTGGAGCTGGTCATTGTATCTGTTGGTCAGCCAGTTGTGGTAGTCCGTGGGGAAGAAACCATCTTGTAGACACTGCTGATGTTCCTTCTGAATAGATGACGAATGGAAGGCAAGGAAGCTGGATAGCTCCTTAATCTCTGCTGGGAACCTTGGCTGGAGTGACTGAAGTCTGTTTTCAAGAGCTGATTGACGGTCAGAGAAAAGGTTGTTGGGAGTCTTGGACGCTGGATCTGTTCCAAGGGTCTTGAATATGATGTCATCAACAGCTTTACCAATGTCTAATCTGGGGCAAGATGGCAGTTCAAAGTCGAGTGGCCGAGTTTCTGTGACTGGACTGGTGTCCGCAGATCTGGAAAGTTGGTGGGGAGGTGGAACTACTGGTACTTGAGCTGGCGGAGTCTGAATGGTAGGAACTGGTACTTGCTGGATGGGAACCAAACTGGCACTTGTCCTTGGTTGGATTGCAGGTAGAAAGGCTGGTACATTCGAAACCCCAACAGGATGAGTTGAGGTTACAAAGGGCGGACTTGGTGGCAGGAAACATGGACTTGATGGTGGGAAGGATGGACTTGGTGGTAGGGTGTAGCTGGAAGCCATGTAGGAGCCTGGTCTGAAGCTGGGAGTGTAGTACCTGGTGGAGCAGGGAGGGAAGAAACTGTAGGGGCTGGAGAAGCAGGTTGCCTGGAGGTATGTGGGAGATGACATCGGGTGGAGGCTGGAGAGAGTTGGCACATGGTGGTGGATGTCAGCAACTGGCAGTGTGAGGGATGACACACCACGTCTCTTGGGGAGAGGAGTTGATGTATGCAGAGGTGCTCCTGTAATAAAGAAAATATTGTAAGCAATGATATGGATATGAAATGAACATCAAACAATGAATCTTGAGGCATCATGGTGGTTAAACTGCTTATACAACCAGCTATAGATTAGGACTGGGTTCAGTATTCTTGGAATTGGATGTGATAGAGGGACTTGAAAATGTGGTATTGCATATTCAGGTTGAGCAGTGGTGTGGCATGGACATTATCCAAAGGCACGTTGACTAGAAGATTACGATGGAAACATCTCAAGGATATAACTACCAACAATAGTGGGTTCAAAGTGTTGTGAAGGGGATGTGATAATTTAACATACAATTTCAGGAAGGACTTACCAATACCAGAAGTGATCAGACAGGCTTCATCAGCAGTAATTTTGAAATCAGCCATCTTGGATTTGAGAACAGTTCACTTGTTAAAGGTTCTGAGGTAGCTGTGTCTCAACAGACTCAACAAGTGAGATGTGCTCACCTTCCATCTGTGGAGTTTTATATACTCTACTCACCTCTCTGGCTTCATCACCTCCAACCTCATTGGCTGTAAGGACTCTTTGATCCATGGCTTCTATTGAAACTTCCCATTTGATAAGCTGTGACCATGCTTTGATCTGTGGTATTACCAGCAGTGTATTGATAGTATTGTATAAACTCAATCAGTGATTCCCAGATTGGCTGTTTGTCAGGCTTAACTGTTTAGAGAACATACTCAGCTGTTGTTTCAGTTGATACTCAACAATGTTGTTAAAGCTGATGGGTGACTTGATTGTGTTTAAACCAAAAACACAAGAACCAATCACAGAGACATGGGATCAAAGGGATTAATGCAGGTGTAATTAATCAGAAATTAGCGTAGATGGGTTTGTGCTTTTGAACTATGTTGGTTTACATTAAAGTAAAAATTAGAAAAGCTTTTGCTATCTTGCAGAAATTCAGCCTTTACAGTCTAATTAAATAACTGTTTCATTTGGATAGCTAACTGTCCTTGAGACAGTCCATATATATTAACACTTTTACAGTATGCGACTTTAGCCACTAATCTGAAAGAGAGTCTTGTTAAATTCTGTTTCGTCTCGTGAGTGCTGAAATATTAGTCCATCTATTCATGATAATAACACTAAAATCAAGTGACAATATTGGTAAGGGCCAAATTTGGGCAAGTAAGGCTTAAAGAAAATAAAAGAATTGGTTCTCAGGCAATGGTTTATGAAAATATAATGCGGGTGGGCAGTGTCTTTTTTTTATTTTGGTTGTTGGAAACTAGTATGTTATCGACCAAACAGTTGTGTAACCAAATAAACAATTGTGTACAATCAAATGAAATGTGCTGTGAACTTAATGATGATGTGGGCGGTGCCTGAGAACCAAGACTTATCTTTTTTAGCCTAACCTCATTTTTTTTGGAAACAGACTACTTTATTCTGTTGAATATACAGCATGTTTGCCAAGAGACAAGTTTGTGTTTGAAGACTCAAAGTATTTGCACAGGCTGCCATTACATTTTATGAAAATACATATTTTTACATAATTCTATGTGTTATATAAATTAACACATTTACTGGATGGTTATGTTTAACTGTGGAATGAAATTAATAAATAAAATGTATATATGAAGCAGATGGTAGTCCTTTGGCATCATTAAGATCTATTTTACAATACCTTTTATGAAGCACATACATGTAAATGATGAAATCAGCCATGAAGATCTTGGTTAGAACTGGTCTTCAGCAACCCATGCTTGTTGTAAGAGGTGACTAATGGGATCGAGTGGTCAGGCTCGCTGACTGGGTTGATGCATGTCATCATATCGCAATTGCGTGGATCGATGCTTATGATGTCAATCACTGGATTGGCTGATCAAGACCGATTATTTACAGACCGCTGGAATGTTGCTGAGTGCGGCGCTAAACAACAAACAAACACGACATTATGAAATCATAGTTATACTAATAGTAATGGTACGTGAAATTAACACTATGTGGAAGTAGATTAGCCAGCCCTGGCCATTGTATATGCCTCTTCAGAATGAAGTTATATACCCAACGCCAAACGAAACACAAACCATAGAAAAAGAAAGCAGTATCTACATTAAGAAGAGATGTTTCCAATTGGACCACATAATGACAAAACTAACAGTCAGTCAAGTGCTACCACAGAGTGTCTTTATTCTTATCACATAAACTGCACATTATTTCCAAACTTTACACACTCATCCTGCACGAGACAAATGGTGCATCTTGAGTCATGGATCTTTGATGTTACATGTGGTGCGTCATGTGCATCAGTTCACACAACATACCAGTATGTTCGTTTGTTCATCGTCCAGTCTAATATCTCTTGAACATAAGTAAGTCTTCATATCTTATCCAACATGTAGGGTATTTGCGTTTCTTTTGGCAGTAAGTATATCATAACAGTGTGTACCTAGCATAATGCATTATATATGCAGACGAGAAAGGAAGGTATGATAGAGCACAAAATACATGTTTAAAATCATCATTAATGAAATGTTTGTGATATAAGTATGTATCTTGAGCTCATTCGTTTGTAATAGACGAAACTTTGTTAAGATGTTTATTATCATGATTTATATGAAGCAATGTGAAGTGTACTTTTGTAAACATGATATACTGGACAA